ATTTAATAACCAAAAAAAGACTAAACTGATACTTAGCTATCATGTTAATGACACCCCACACTGTTACAGTAGCTAAAATGATAGCCTTTAGAACTTTGCCATATAGGAGACCAGGTCCTTGCCCTGCTCAGTTACAAACTGCAGGCCGGGCTTCCTCTTTTTTCCAACTCTCTATTTTCATCTAAAATAGGGGCACTTTGAGGGTTTGCAAGAGATAATGAATGCAAAGAACCCAAGGTCTGGAGTGCTCCAGGACTATTTTCAGCTCCTATTTTTCCTTCTCTACTCATGTCTCCCAAGCCCATAGCATTGATATCATTTGACCTTTGTTGATCCTAGAATTTATCTCTTCCCTGAGCTCAAGATTCACATATCCACCCCTTACTTGAGATCTCCACTCTGTTTTCTAAAGGGAAGTACCAAAGCAGAGCTGATTTCTACCCCACTCTCTGCTGTGAATCCCTTCCCTTCCCCCAGTCTGCTCTTTAACTCACCTCTTCTTCTCAGCAAATAACGTCATTTACTGTTGCAGGCCCAGCCCCTGGAAATTACCCATAATAATCTCTTTTTGCTTCTATCCCTCATTCAATTCCCCAGTAAATCCTGTGGGCACTCCCTCTAATTACTCCAGTTATGACCACTTCCCATTTTTTCTGTTGCCAACCATTGTCACCCTGCACAACTATAACAGACACATAACTATTTTCCCTTCTGCCCCACCAAAGAAAACAGAAGAAAGTGCAATGTCATCACACAGAAGCATGGACAGCAACAGGCTCATTGCCATGCAGAGGGCCAGTGATTCTTAAAATGAGAAATGCTATATTTAAAGGTCTGGACTCACAGTATCAGCATCTCCTGGGTACTGTTCAAACTGCAAATTCCTGAGCACGCCCCACATCTACTGAATGGGAAGCTCTAAGGGTGGGGACCACAGTTTGACTTCTGACAACCCTTGCAGGTAATTCTGATGCATGCTCCAGTTTGAGTACAGCCAGTTTAGGCTTCAGTAGGCAGGTCCCGCTACCATTCGGGAATAACACTACAGATTAGGTGACTCTCCAGAGCCCATGTCAGCCTCCTTGCAGCAGAAAGTGTGCAGTGTAAGGAAGGACTGCCACAGAGCACCTGCAGCCTCACATCTAGTGCACAGGCCACAAGGACAGAGGCCACAGAAAGGACCAATGTCACACGGGGGACACAGTGGACATCAGCTACCCACTCTCTACATCAGGAGCATTTCCAAAGGGGCGAGCACCCTGGCAGGATGGGAGAGAGTCATGTGGAAACAGGGGTAATGGGCAACTCTCAGTTCCCAGCTATGAAGCAAATAGTTGGCATGGTTGACATCTGACTGAGGACCAATTCCTGAGCCCCACAAGAAGCCCACTGGGGACAAAACTGTCAGGGAAGGCAAGAGTTTCCCAGTTACTCAGGTTGAGTCTGAAAATGGAAAAGTTATTTATCTAAGGAAACAGCTTTCAAATGTTTCCTAAGGGCCCTATTTATTCTGACCAAGCCTCTGCAGCCTCCTCCCCTCTCTTGCTTTCTGATTCGTCTTTCCTGTCCCTCCTGCCCTTTGTTCCATTGTTCTTTTTCCTTCTCTCTACCATCCTTTTCTCCCAATATTATGAAGTTGAATGGCAGGCAAAGAAAATGAATGTTTAGTATTGAATGATTTCCGTGTGGTGTTGGTGGAGTTGGTCCCCAAACCTCCTTCCCTCGAGGCGTCTCAGGCGGTTCTCCAGCAGTGTGACCAGCAGGTACCAGGGCCACGTATAAACCCCACCTGACACTGTTGCTTATCAACCCCATCTGTCATCAAGGTGTGAGTCTTTCCTCCAAGCCAACAAAACAACTCACTGGAGGTTTCTTTTCTCCCACGTCCTCAGCTGTTTTAATGGACAGCAAGAGTAATACTAAGAGTTGAAAGGGAATGTTACTCTTTGATATTCAAGGGATGAGATGTTCATGAGAACCCTGAAACTACAAGGATCATTATCCTATTGATTTAGTGGAAGAATGTTTAATTTACTTTCTTTCTCTCTTTCTTCTTTAAACTATGGTGAGAACATTTCAAGTTGCTTTTTCATGATACACCTTTTATGCTAACACTTAGTTGCACGGACTATTGCAGCGGTCCAGAAACACAGAGGTGCCTAAAAGTGCTTCCATTTGGGTTCATATATGATGTGGTTATCCCCTGATCTCTCTCTCCCTTGCTAGACTCTTCAGGTAATAGACCAAGTCTTGGTTTTCTTTGAAACTTTATCTCAGTTCCTGGCAAAAAGTAAATAGTCAAAAAATATGTGACCTTAATTAAACTTAGGGGTAGCTTTTTAAAAACAAATTCCAAAATAATTGATTTCTTGAAGGCAGAGTATTTCACTTTGTCTCCATTTTTTATTTCCTACTCTAGACAGGCTGACATGCTACTCACACACGATGCTCATTTTTACTTCCTGAATATCCCTCTTATTTCTACTCCTATGGAAGAGATTGTACAAGACATTTTATAATTAATTTGCTAGCCAGCTATTTTACTTATAAAGTAATTTTGTAAAGATGAATTATATATATACTTAAATTTAAGGTAATCTATATAATTTTCTTTTTACAATTTGAATTTGTCACAGCATCAGAAGATATTAGGAGGTAAATTTTTACACTGGTTATATTTTATTAAATATTAAGCCTCTACAGAAAAAATAATATGGAGTACTATTTATCTATTTTTTGCATTATGAATTACCTCAAGACTAAGCAGAATTAACTCAAGACTACGCAGATTAAAACAATAAACATTTGTTATCTCACACAGTTTCTGAGAGTAAAGAACCTGGGAGTAGCTTAGATACGTGTTTCTGAAGACTGTAGTCAGCTGAAGTTGACTGGCACTGGAGGATCTGCCCCCAGAATGCTCCCTCACTGTGGCCGGAGGCCTCATTTTTTTGCTGGTTATCAGCAGGAGGCTTCAGTTTCCACCAGGCTGCTTGAGCGTCCTCATAACATGGCAACTGACCTCCCCAGAGTAAGTGATCCTAGAGCAAGAGCAGCAAGAAAAAAATCACTACACCGTTCATGATCTGGTTTTGAAAGGCACACTGTCACTGCTGCCACATTTTATGCACTAGATATAAGTCACTAAGAATAGTGAACTGAAGGTAGGATCATTAGATTCCACCTATTGAAAGGAGGAGCATCTAAGGATCTGTGGCCATATTTTAAATCTATGATAATTAATTTTTGACTTTAGCTGAACAAACACTTCTTTCTAAAAGAAACATTCTAACAGATGTTGTTTTCCATAGTAATTATTTATAGTCTCAAGGTCACAAGTCAACAGATGGCAGAAGAACAAAACACACATTGAATAATACAAAATACTCTTTGGTTTTCTTGGTTATCTCTTAGCCAGAAACTTAACTCCATTATGACAAGATTCAGAAGAGTATTGATTTAACTTAAATTTATGGTATTTGGTATGTAAACAAGTGAAACAGCAAGCAGAGTTGTAAGTAGCTCACATGACATGTTCAAGTGACAGAAAGAGATAAGTGGCTGAAGCAGTGAGTTGAAAGAAAGAGCAGCAATAAGGAGAAATGAGATGAGAGAATTAGAAATGAGTCAGATAATAGCTCTTGTCAGCTCAGTAAGGACATTAAATTTTACTTCACGTGCATTCAAGAGCCATTGAAGAGTTCGAGGCAGAGGAATAATCTAATCAGATATATTTTTTAAGGGATCACTTGAAACTATAGGGAAAAATTGATTGTAATGGTGTAAATTGGGGAACAGAGAGACAAGTCAAGGGACTTTTGCAAGAACCAGGCTTGGACCAGAGTGGTAGTAGGGGAGGGGCTGGTGTAGATAGTTCAAATCTGATTTCACTTTGAAGATAGAGCCAACAGGATTTGTTGATGGATTGGATGTGTCATGAAAGAAAAAGAGGATGTTTTACGGAGAGGCTGGAAGATTGGTATACCATTTCTTGATATGAGAAAAACTATGGACAGATCAGGTGTGGAGAGGAAAGGCTAGTGTGTGTGTGTACAATATGTTAAATTTGAGGTATGTAACAGAAATATTGTCAGGATAGACTAGGTAAAAGGCAGACCCCACCAACAATCCCAAATACCATCAGCTTAATTAACAGATTTCTTACTCTTCCTTCAAGTCCTTCAGAGTCAAAAGCAGGCACTATTGCCCTCAAAAAGCCAATCTGACAGAGGCTGTTTCTAGACACACATGTCCCCTGATAGATGGCATGACAGCAGAAGGACTCTGGTCCCGTGCTCTGGCTCTTTAAGGCTTCTCATGTAAATTACCTAAAACACTTCCTGCTCTCCTTTCATTGGGAAAAATATGCACGTGGCTAACTCATGGGGGAGGAAAATTTAGAAAAATGCAGCCTACCAGTTAGCAAAAAGATAAGAGAGTGTGTATGAACTGTAACAACCTCTACAATATCTAAGTGGAAATGCTGAGTAAGCTGATGGATGCTTGAGTCTGGAACCAAGGAGAGATGTCAGACTGGAAATACACATTTGTGATGGGTCAGTATGCAGATGGCATTACAGCCTATGGGACTAGGTGACAGCGTCAAAGTGGTGAGGTACTAGGATTCAGGCACTGCAACAAGCAGAGTCAGGTAGGTGAGGCGTGAGGTGGGAAGAGGACTGAGAACATTGAGCATTAGATTAAAAATGTGGATAACTTTCTTTGACTTGTTTAAAAGAGAAGTTAGACATTTTTGTCTGAAAACATCTATTTCCTCTGTGAAATAAGAAACAAGGTCACCAGTTAAGAATTAGAATGAGGAGAATGTGGTAGAGATTAGAGAGAGGAGAAAAGGTATACCTTATTATCTACAAGAGTAGGAGAATGAAAATCAAAGGGAAACAGAGGAAAATATTTAGGTAACACGAGGACCTAACTGAGGTTAGTCATCAGGGATTTAAACATCTGTCAAAACAGCTATGTGATCTTTCTTTCACCAGAAAACTGAAAATATCAGAGGGATAAGGAACAGTTGAAAATTCAGGTTTGATCAACAGTTTGAAGAAAGGGCTTTGAAAAATCACTGGAGTTGGGACAGTAAAGAAAGCAAGCCGAAAGGATGAGAGGTATTTGTTAAAGATTGGGGAGGTCCAGGCTGATCATGGGAGGAGGTCTCCAAATGGAGGGCAGGATCTTGGGAGGAAAGAGTCAAGGATCTGAAAGCCAGTGTATCAGAGAAATAATTAGTATAGACATGAAAATTCCCAAATCAGATTTTGGTAGTGAAGATGTCCATGTTGGGAGAGATGGGAACATTGACAGAAGCACTTGAAGTTCAGTGGGTCTCCTTAGTCACAACAGGTGGTGGTGTCTAGACTGAGGGAGGACTCGTTCTCTTCCAAAGAATGGTAGTACACAGGGGAGGCAAGTACAGAGGGAACTATATTCTATTCATCTTAACACTCATTCTGATAAGGCACCTGTGAGACATCCTACTCATAGGCAGTTGGATAAACAGAAGAGATAATTACAGCATAGTCATATATTTGGATATCCACAACATAGAGATGGCAGGTGCAGTTAACAGGATAAACGAAGTCAACATGGAAAAATATACAGACTTGGGAGAGAAAAGAAACACAGGAGGAATGCCAACAGACAAGAACATGTAAACGTATGCACAGGAAGGGGGACTCTCTCAGAGAAATAATCAGAGGTAGGAGAAGTACCCGAAAAGAAGGGCCCTTTTCTAGATGATACAAAATTAAAGGCTATGGAGAATTTGGGAGGATAATAAGGAAGCCTAAAAAAAGTGGAAGGAAACTTGCTTTAAGTACTTAGGAGTGAATGATAAGTAGAGGGATAATTTGAAAGAGCCTCACCACCTTCCTATTTTTTCTGACCTTTACTTTGCAGAAGCTGAATTACCACCCATATTAGACATGCCCTGAGGCCGGTCTTGTCACATTGTCTCAGTTGTGACTTGTTCCATTTGGGGACCAGGTGGATTTCTGTACTGCTGTCTAGAAATGCTGTGATGTTTATCAAACCATGTCACTTTACCATCATCTGTACTAGAGGATTGCACTTCAGTGCATATTGCCGCAAGACTCTTGCTAAAGGACTCTTAAATGTCAGCCTGAACACAAATTGAGTACCCCAGAAATCCATTCCCTGCTGTATTTCTTAATCTACAAAGAAAAGAAACTTCGTACACTGTCATAGATTTTGAGTTATGGATTAAAACCTGATAAACTTCAGTTTCAGATTATTCAGTATGCCAATGCTATGGGTATATAACTAAACAAGGTTATATAACATTCTAAAGAAGCTATGAGAATGCAGCTAGAGGTTAATAAGCACAGCAAGCTTGCTCAGTGTCAGTAAATATCATCTTCCTCAGGTTTCATACTTTATCTTAAACTTCCACATATTTCAACTTTTCTAAAACTGTTCTCTTGGAGCTCCTGTTAAAAGGTACTTTCAGGATCTATAAACATAGTCTTACTTTACAGTCAACTCTAAAATAATCTGGAAAAATCCTGTGAATTCTCCAGCAAGTCCCCAGACAACCAAACCAGTTCTACTTAAGATAATGGTCGTGTGAAATTTACTCTTAAACCTAAAATAAATAAGAAAACTTAACCTAAAAATTTGTTACATCATTACCATATGAACCATTGATAATCGCCTCCCCAGTAAAAAGCATACTACAGGAAAATACCCTTCATGAAGATAAATACAAACATTAAAATGTTATTATTATTCAACAGATATATACATACAATAAAATAAAGGAATTATAGCACCTATAGTCAACAAATATAATACATCTTAAAGTAATAAGCCCATAAAAATATTTCTATTTTAAATTCATAAAAAACAATGTTTTAAAGTATTGAAAAGTAATTTGACTCACTTCTTTGACACAGAAACCTTTCTTTCCTTTTTTTAAAATCATGTTTTATTTACCCAAGATAATTACTTGACCCTGACTTTTGCTCAGTTTTTGAGTAGATTCACAACATATAAGCATTTTCCTTACAATCGCACTGATTTTTCAGAACTAAATTTCTTGGAGTCTGCGGATTTTCATCTGCAGTCATAAGACACAATTGAGATTCCCTTTTTGCTGAATTTTGATGAAAAACAAAACATTTTTATGTGAAGACTTGAACTAGCTGTCTCTACAATACAGTTTTACTAAAAATAGTCTGTATTCTAGAGAATAATATTATTCTTGATGAACATATACAGCTGTCTGATTAAGCTGGTTTCTTAAAGTCAGGCTCCTCTAGGGCAAGAAATGGCAAGTGAGACATTTTCAGAGTGTATTACACACTTAAAATGGGTAGAAAATGGATAGACAAGAGGCAGGAAGTCCTAAATGTTGGGTCAACAAAATGACACAAAGTGATTCTACCCACACACTTTCTTCAGTAGCTCCAAGAATGCTCTGCTGTTTATAGGATGGAGTTCTAATTACTGTCCATTAGTGTGACGATCCTTACCCTGATCTACCACTGGCTTGGTGGTGCTTCTTTGGTCACATCCTCCACTCTTTTAGAACTAATCCTCTTTGCCCTTCAAATAGCTCACAGAGCTCGAGAGCAGCATTTCTCACTTTACAATGCATTTATCTGCTTTTATGTCTCTCACCCTGACCAGACTGAGATCCCCTGTAGAGAAAAGAGTCTTACTCATTCCGTATGCCCAGTGCCTAACAAGGTTTACATGGAGAACACGTCCATAAATGCCTGTATAATAAAAGAATCCATTGAAAGAAATACCAACTGTGTATGTGTGTGAGAAAGTGAGAGGGTGTATACAGATGTATACATGCATATACTTTTGCATACACATATGCACCCATAACAATATATACAAATATATTTATAGCAGGATACTAAAATACAGAACTTTATGAATCAGTTTTAGCTGTAGACTTAAGACAATAGCTGGTTACAAACCCCTATGCTAAACTACTTAAACAGACTTCAAAAACAGTAATCAAAAATGATAATTTTCTTACCATGGCCCCCTTACAGACATACTAAGGCCATTTAAGAGCTAAAGCAGGAGAGGAGAAGATGGAAATTAAGGAGAGGCTTACACTGGAGAGAGCTATAAGGGTTTTGTGTCCCTATAAAGATAGGGTGCGGGGACTTTCCTACGTTATACTCTCAAACTCTCAAGGAAATCACTTAAAGAAGAGGGTATGTGGTACCTGGACTCTGAGGATGCAGTAGAGGGTTGTATGGCTCAGTGGTGACATCTGTGGCACTGGAGCAGAGGACTCCATTAGGGAGCACCTGCATCTTCACAATGGCAGGCCCAAGGTGTGTGTTAACCAGATGTGTAAACTGCAAGAGGGTTATCAGCTCAGGATTGTTTTAAATAATGCTCTCCAGGAAGGCTTTCTATACAGGGCAAGGAAACAACAGCAAAAAGAGGGCTATTGCAAGAGCAAGGGTCTTCTGGGCCAGCCAAAGGCACAGCCCCGCTCCCCATGTCAAGAGGCCTGAGGTCAGAAACACCAGCAGGGAAGTCTGAAGGAGCCATCCGAGGACAAGGCTCATTTAATCATTAGCCATGGCCAAAAACAGCCTATGCCAGACCCACAGGCCCCAGCCAAGGAAAATCTGTCCTTCCCAGGCTTCAACTGAGAAGAAGCCAGAGGCAGCCAAGAGCTGGGCGAGGAGAGCCTGAGGCTGTGTGCAGGGACGCAAGGAGACGCGGAGCTTCCCAGGCCCTCTTTCTCACTTGCAGGCGTTCACCCCACAGCAAGTTCTGAACTTGCAGTGAAGTTCAGAGTTTCAAATATCACTTTGGAATTCATATTTTGATCATTAAATTGAGGCTGTATTTTGATGGGAGGAGCAGGGGAACAGACAGGACCAGAAGACTCACTGATTTTCCAAGAGACTTCAAGCATCATTGGACCACTGTAATATTTTATTTAAGAGGAGGAAAAAAACCGTCCTCCCATGGTGGGCTTTAACAGTCATTAAGGGGAAAATGAATTTATATTCAGATTGTGTCCTATGAGTCCTGGTTGTTCAGTGTTAACTTTACATATGATTCCCATTCAATCAGTGTAGGGGGGAAATACAGTCCTGTGTAGTACTAGAACTTGGAAAATTTGCTTCAATTATATCTCCTCCAAAAGGCTATTCATAATGAAGTTTAATATGTCCAATAGCCCTTTATAGAAAAACTGCTCTTGTGTTTGTATTTGCATGAGTAAAAGCTTCTAGAACATTATTATCATCCATAGAATCTACATGTGTGTTTTAGTCATAAATAAAATAATATAATTTATTTTAAATTAAAATTTTAAATAGTAAGTGTATTAGAGGACCAGGACATTCTCTAATGAAAATCTTGGTCTTCTTGATCCTCAGTAATTCACAGCTTTAGATGATTACAGGCAGTTTGCTATAGGAAACATTTTGTAGAAAAAATATCAAACTGAAGCATTTGCCACATAACAGCTTTCCTGGATTCTGCGCTCAAATTTCCTTATCACTACTTATCATCCTGTGCTTTTTCCCTCATTCACATACTTTCATCATTTAATGAAACAAACACATAACCCCACAACATTTTAGATAAACAAAGCTGGTAGTTTCAGAACTTTAAAAAAGAACACACACACACACACACACGCACGCACGCACGCACGCACGCACAGACTTTCCCAGAGAATGTAGCTACAAACATTTTGTTTTAAAGTATTTCTCAAAGGATTTGTTTCAGAAAGAAAGCATCAACTTTGTATATCGTCTGAGCACTGAGGACTACATGCCTTCCGTGGGGAAATAATTCTAATGTGCATTCACTTTCAGATATATTTATGTTCTGCCTTTTAATTTAATCTTTCTGTCACCTGCCCTGTTGTAACAATGCAAATCCAAGCTCCTCTCCCTTGTTTTTATAGCTCTTAAATTAGCCTTATAAATTGATTCATAAAATTTGTCATCTCTACAAACTTTCTTCAGCCCACTTCTATTTATCAAGTCCACCTACCTCCCATTTCCAACTAAGTGCAAAACTAAAAATAAATAAGAATTTACCTTCAAGCAGATAAAATACAGTTTAGCCACAGAAGAAATCCCCAACCTAAACAGATAGGTTAAATATTCTTGGAGAAGGAACTCTTCATGATGCTAAAAGACTCACTTCAGTCTCCTAGGGGTTCAGGCTCTACACAATATGGGACTGTACTCATATCCGACAGATTTATACCTCTCATTTTTTTTGTCAAATGTACCTAGATTATATTGAATCTAAGTTTAAAAAGTGTATTATTTCTTGATTTTTAGCTATATATAATTATACTGTTAGCTATTAAAAATGATATATGCTCATGAGAGAAAAATTATATTTGCTCTTGCTTTATTTTACATATTCAGAGTATAGCGCAATGCCTGATGTACAGTGCTGCATTTTCTGAATGAAATTTTTAAAATTAGAGAAAAACAGAAAAGTTTAAAAAAGAAACAGTAATAAGGAAACAGCATAATAAAAGTTCTCAAATCCCTACACACAAAACAATCACTGTTATATTTTGGAGAATTACCCTCTAGGTATCTCTTCGTGTATTTATACGATATATATTTTTATATCACATTTAAGAATGAAATTGTATAAACTGTATACACAATTATACTGTTTCCACAGTTTCAGTTAAATAGGACCACATTACACATTACACATTTTCACTCAACAATGGATAAAGACCAAGTCTTTTAAATCTCTGAAACAGGGCTGGACCTTGGCAAAATGGTAAAGTAGATAAAGTTCTGTTTAGACTTTTCACCTTCTCTCTTTTCCTCCTTTCTCAACTGCCCCATCTAAACCTACTGTCAAAAAAAGATAGAATGTAGACACAATTTTGTCATTGCTGTTATTTAAAAGAAGTGATGTCACTACTACATGTGACAATCAAATGCCTCTTCCACTTCATTTTCTGGGATCTCCCAAACTTCACATAGCTCACTATGTTTTGTCTTCAATGGTATATGCAATTAATGCTCCTTCCCAGTCTTTAAAGAGGAGAATAACTATTCATTGAAGTAGATGAACTTTATAAGGAGAATGTCCTCATGCCTCACAATCATTGAAAGCAAAAAGACTTCATAGAAGTCATCTATCCCTTAGATTAAAGTTTTCATATCTATAAGATCTGAGACATTCATATTTTCAGCCTTAATTAATTATAGTATTAGTCTCCAACCACCACCACACTCCCCTTCCTTTGATAGGAAGTCAGGAAGAGCAGCCTCCTCTCCTTTCTTAGGATACTTGAGACACACGCTGTTACTGCAGGACTACTACACCGTACGGTGTTCCCTGAGGATACTTCCTCCCTTGACCACAGCTCTTGCTGGCAGAGCTAGTGCCTAAGTTACCTTTGCTTCTCAGCACCTAACACAATGCCAGGTTCACAATATGACCCAAAAACGTTTTTGTTAACTAGATGAAATTGCGTCCCATAGGTGTCAGCATCTCACGTATGAGGCTGTTTTCAATGAAATGCTCATGTTCTCTCACCTTCAGTTTGAATTTCTGTGGAAAACATGCTACTGT